TTATATATTTATTAAAATTACTCTAAAATTACATTTTTAAATATTACTATAAAATAAAATAAAATAATATTTAAAAATATAAAAGTAGGAGCCAGCCGGCAGCGGGAGCAAGGTCCAAGCTACCGGCAGTTAGGGCTCCAGAGATAGGAACCCCCTCACAATACGTGCCGTTTCAAGGAGGACTGCCTTCTGTATGAGGCCGTTGATCCATCCGCCTAACGTCAGCCTCTTAAGTGGTTGTCGAGGCTTTTGAGGACTAACCCATTTGCCGACACAACTATCGGCACAACGATAGCCGAGTCCACATTCCATGTCAACAACCTCGTGAGCTAAGTCAAGATATATTATTATTATTGTTTAAGAAACTTAACATTTGACCCAAACTTGTTACAAAGTCTCGCGTGTTTCTCTCGAGTGATTATACACATATCTTTGCAAGATAATACATACTATTATAGCACTTCGTTAATTAACTTGTCTTAGAAGATTCTATTTGCATTGATACAACCAACTTTCAGAGCCTAATTAATGTATTCTATGGTTACTACAGCAATTTTTTTGTGTGATAGGTAGAATAGTTCGGCAAACGAGCATACGCATTACCTAATGGTAAGCAATCAGCGCCGCCCATAGATACCCGCAACAACAGTGAGTTACGAGTGCGTTGCCGAACTTTTGGGGATAAGGGATTTGGAGATTTGGGGATGGGGGATTGGACCTCCGGTAAGGTTACCGATAATACCGAATAAGTGAGGTCACTTACACGACGAAACCAAACAATATGGTTGTTTCACGTCAGTTTTCTATGAGGCCGTGGTATCACTTCGGTCGAGACAACCTATTCGTGCTGAAGCATGGGCTCTCCCACACTTATACTCAAAGTGTTCTCCATTGAACCTTGGAAGTTCACAAAGTCATTATAAAATCCTAAATTTTCTCTCTCTCTTTCAATCAATCCTAAAACCAACCGATTGATGAATAATAAAAAATATTTTTATACATCGAAAAAGGCAACACAAAAAAAAACCAGATTCGAGTTTTAGTCAGAGTCAGAGTCTGACACTACCTCTCGCCTCACCCATCATCAGCCTATAAGTACCCACTGCTGAGCAAAGGCCTCTTCTCATACGGAGAAGGTTAGAGCACTTCACCCAGGGCGCGATAAACCATTGGCTGGATGACCGTCCTTTAAAATAAAAAGACTCATCCATTTGGTTATCTTTTTACTTTAAAACCAAAACAGACAATGGATAACATTATATAGTATTTGCATAAATTATTCACAGTTAATGTATAATGAACAAAAGTAATGCGTTTGACGGGAAACTTAGTGATCGCAGTACCGATGTGCAACTAAATAACTACCACAAGGTCGGCCATCGGAGTAGAAGCGTCATCGCCCATGCAATTGTATTATAATACTTATACAATAATTATGTACATTCTAGAATTATCCATGAAGCAGTAAATTCATAAATAGGAAAATAGTGTATTTACCAGATTCATTATGTATTTTATAGGGTGTTATATTAAGAATTTTGTTTTGTTTTTTTGAAGGGGAAATGTTTCTCTGACTTTCCTTGCCCTGCTTGGGGCGAAAGGCAGTGTCAGAAAGACCGTCACGTTCCTCCCCTTCGCACCATTACCAAGCAGAGAACATCGTCACCGTTTGTGCCACCGAGTAATCCACGCAGTTTATAGTTTATGTTTTTACATTAGTATAGGCTTTATCGTGTTATGTAGTACCTACTCATGTATCATTTTAAAATGATAAGTAAATAAAAATGTTCTTAAATGTTTTGAATTTCGAAGTCTGATGCCAACACTATCAAACGGGATTAGATCTGTTAAATTAGTCGTAACTGAATTTAATAAATAAACATTTAAAACAAACTGTGTACAAATAAACGCGGATAATGTACCAAGAAAACATTTGATGATTTTGCCCCTAAAAAAACATGTAACTTACTACTTTAATAAAAAAATTATAATCTATACTAAAATAAACACAACTTTAAACCCAATTCACCAAGGTTCTATTTTTCTTAACAACATAAGTTTGATTTGTTTTTAAATTCTCGGTAGATAAAGAACCACGATACTTCGTGTCTATGAGCTGTGGGTAGAAGTCTACTTACAATACACCCACTATTGCTTCGCATCATAAGTAAAACGACGGAGTGAAAGCCCTTACCATATCCAATCGATATACGAAGTACAATTCTTATCTTTATTTTTTTTTTAAATTACCCTATACTAGTAGTTTCGAGTCTCCTCACATCACACCCAGATCCAAAACAACAATGTGAGTTGGCCCCACAAAACGATGTTCCATGTCACAATATTGAACCCACGTCACTTTGCACGGCAACCAGTTGAACAGCCCCCGCATCTACTGAACAGTAAAAATTCTCGTACCAGCATTAATAAAGTTATTTAAACAAAAAAAAAAAAACGTTGCCCCACACTAGGATTTTCTCCTGTGTGTAAGTGCAAGGTTACAAACATACAATTTCACATACACACGACACCAAGACCCGGAGCAACAATTCGTGGACAAAGAGTTGTTCCGTATTTTGCACAGCAGCCAGTTGCCCAGCCACCGCACCAACCGTGCAGTCTAAATAGTAGGTATGTAGGTAGACTGTTTTTTAGGATTTAAAAGTGTTAGTTAAATTAGTTCAACGCCTCTTAATAATGTGACGTCAATATTGAGTTACGCCTGTAACTCCTCTGGTTTGCTGGGTGTCCATGATCGGCGCGTATCACTTGACGTAAAGAGCTCGTTTTTCTCCTATCTTTATATACATATATTTCTGCTGTAAGTTCATATGTTATTTAACTCCTCCGAAACGGCTTGACCGATTTATTGGATGGTTTAGATTCACAAATCAGCCCGGCAGATGGCACTGATTGCTTGAAAAGGCATGTGATCTCGGAAACGGTTTTAACGATTTAGTTGAAATTTGACAGGTGGGGATTTTCAGGGAGGGTCCGCTAGTTACACATATATAACAAAAACTTACATGATGTCATCACCCCACATTGCCGCATTCTGATTACCTTTTAACACTACCAAAAAGGTCAAAGGTACTACTTGATTGTTCCAAGCCATAACCTCATTTTTCTTAGAAAATTATGAAACATTTGACACGAAATCGTGTAGTTTATTCTCGATTTATGACCTGCTTCCTTTCGTTTCTTGTAAACTACGCTGAAGGGCGGCCTGACCTATTTTGATGACCCGTATTTCAATATGACACGGCCAGCCGTTATGTTGTCTATCTCTGATTTATAATGTACGACATTAATAGCTTTGGATCTTAATTTTTATTCTGTAGATATATAAAGTTAAGATATATTAAGTTAAGTATCATATTTATCCTTTTTTCTATTTGTAACGAGATAGTGTTTTAGCTTAATTAATGATGTATCGTTATCAAGTTCTAAGGTTTATCTTTAGGAATCACTTTGCCACACATCCTCAGTCTATAAGTGCCCACTACTAAGTAAAGACCTCTTCTCACACGAAGAAGTTTTGAGCAATCACAAAGCTTGCTCAAGGATTGGTGATTTAAAAAGTGTAATATATACTAATATTAAAAATGCGAAAGTAACTCTGTCTGTCTGTCTTTTCTTCACGCCTAAACTACTGAACCGATTTCTGTGAAATTTGGTACAGACATAGTTTGGAACTCGAGAAAGGACATAGGATAGTTTCTATACCAAAAATCTGCAGAAAGACACTATTTCACGCGAACGGAGTCGCGGGCAAAAGCAAATTAGAAATAATAAGTCCAAGTTTCTTCAAAATGCTTTCCTTCACCACTTCATGTCAGTGGTGTCTAATCATAGAAAGTACATATAATACGGAAAAATCTCATTGGTACTTACCAGGTTTCGAATCCGCTCAGGTTTCGAGTACACAAAGAGAAGTTTAAAAAAAGCTCTACTAGATCCAGGTCAGTACTGGACTCTTTTACTTCTAAGTTGCAAACACGGTGCAGTAAAAAAAAATTATGTCTCGCTATAATTTAAGGTGCACAAAAACAGTAACAGCAAGCTTTCTCATTGACACCGCAAAACGTTCACAAATAAACTGGAATATAAATAAAATCGTGTTTAAATGTATTAAAACTAAAAGAGTATTTGACTATTTGGTCGTCGGGGGGCTCGTCTCAAAATATTTCCTCATTAGAATCATCACACATGCATACTAAACTACGTAATACCGATAATAAGAGAGTCAACATGTGCTCATTGACACTATAAATCACGGTACATAAGAGTGTGTGGGTGTTGCCAAACAGTAATCGGATATTGCTTCTAATTGACAACACCCACTGCAAATTAGATTGTCCAAAACAGATTTTGAAATATTAATTTCTTAAATGCTACTTGCATCATCCGATTTGTCTGGAATTGATACCTATATTAATTAGTTTTTAAACAAATGACTATTACAAAGGAATGTAACTTTCAATGAAATTATTTTCGAACTAACTTCTAGTAGTTGATAAAAGTCTAGTAACCTATGTCCTTGTCCGGAGTGTATCCTATGCCTGTACTAATAGGTCCTCATCCAGATCCGTCCAGCCGTTTTGGCGTGATTGAGTAACAAACATCCAAACATTGTAACTTTCGCATTTATAATATAAGTAACATTAGTAAGATGTTATTACTTAGGAATAGTTTAAGTGATCATTAAATAACTCTCAATACGGCATTTGGTGTTTAACCTAAAATTATTATTTTGTGATGTATTCGTATCAATCAATTCCTTCGGTTCTTTTTTTTAATGTAATGTACCTAAACAGTGTTCTCTTTGGTAAGTGCAAGTATGCTACCGAGAAAATAAATACCTCGGTTTAATTACATGGGTCAAAAAAAGTAATTAAAAAAAATCTTAGTCACGAGTCAGTCAGCAGTGAGAGTGTAAGCCTTGGCCATTAGAGTGCCTAAAAAAATGCCCAATAACAAAAGTATACATTTTCTTGCAGATCTTCGGCATTGTGATAATAGCAGCAGCATGCGTGGACATGGGAATGATCAAGGGGTTCGCTGGCATGGAACCGACTGGCCATGAAACTGACGCCCTGCTGATCGCTATCGGGGTCCTCATCATCATCATAGCTGCCTTCGGCTGCTTCGGTGCCTGGAAGGAGAGCCCTAAGCTGTTGTATATCGTGAGTAGTTTATGCATATTCTAGATTAATATTATCGTGAAGATCCTCTTCTGTATCCTCCGCAATTGGTTCAGTCAACTGTTAAATTGAATATTTCTTTTATTGGGGTGTAAGTGGTCCTGATCTAAACCTTCATAAGAAAAACAAAAGAAAACAATCCATAAAGAATCGTAACAACCTTGACGAAAATAAATATGAGACAATTTTCTTATTAAAAGAGAAAATTTAATTTAATTTAATGTGGTTAATTTTTTTCGAAGAGACGTATGTATTGAAAAACTTTAACAAATTGTGGACAAAGCAATACGTATACCTACATGAGATGTATTTTAAAATAGTGTTTGATGCTATTTTATATTATATAGTTTTCTATCCGTTCAATTAATAGGAGTGACACAAGAAGTTGCATGGAGTTGGCTTTTAAATACCATAATACGCGACCATGACCAAAATAGAATGGGATAAACAAAGATTTGAAGTAAGGACCAGAACAGACGCAACTGTTGACAATATTCAGCTTGACCTTGAAACAAATAATATGGACTGCGGACTGCGAATCGCCAATAGACGCGTTAATTGACCAATCGAGTGTGACGAAAAGTGGCTACCATGTCGCCGTGTCGAGCTTGTGTACACAGCAAAGTTTTTATTTCAGATACGTACTTAAATAATCGAAACACGTCAATGAGATTTTTTTTACTATTTTGGTCATCTACGCAGAAACAGTACAACGATAATATTATTTCTGAATGCAAGGATCATATGCAGACTAAGAAACATTAATAGATTTTTTTTATGTGATTGGACGGCAAACGAGCCATCTAATTACATTGGTGTAAGCAATCAGCGCCAGCCATGGACATCAGCAACTACAGAAGAGTTACGAGTGCGTTGTTGACCTTTTCGAAATGAGATTTGGTGGATTTTGGGATTGCGGGAGAGGATTGATTGGGATTGGGCTTCCGGTAACCTCACTCACAATGTTGTTGTTTCAAGCAGGTTTTCTGTGAGGGCGAGGTATCACTCCGGCCGACCCGATCCATTAGTGCCAAAGCTCTCTCACACTTAATATTCAACTGTAATAGTAATATTATATTGAATTTTCCAAATATAAATCAGTGTTACCTTCATTAATAGTTTTATGAAGGTTGAATATGAATAAACACTTTTTGGGGCTGACAATTTAATAACCACTATACATAGAAGTGATGATCTAACTTCACACATTGCCACTCATCATGTCAGAGTAATTTAATTAAAATTTATTGTTACCGGGCCGAAGCTCGACACCACACTTCTGACCCACCTACTCAAATCGTGACTTTCGCCTATATTTCAAAATTGACCCAAAAACTTGTAATTGGTCATGGGCAGGCCTTACTATGGTAATGAGGTCGACCGATGAATCGCGTTGTTGGTAAATGTCCTATTGTTTTGTTTGAGACAACATGTTATTGAGATAATGATGAGGAAGATTTCAAAACAAACAAAGATGGTCTTATACTTATTGTTGCTTTAAACGGTTGTATAAGGAAGTTAATTGGAGAAGCAAATATAGTCTGAGAGACTCTAATTGGGAACAAGATGATGATGACGATTACAGGATATCTGTTAAATCAGTCCATGAAGCACTTAACACTTTTATAATAATCATGAAGCGTAACGTACCTAATAGAAACTATGTCAGTAGGATTAACACGACACCTCAATTTAGGTTAAGTTCGACACGTAATTTGAAAAGTTCAGAAAGTACCTATGCCGAACTTATTTTTGACAGCCGTAACTCAATGTCAGCACGCAATGCTTTATAGAAAAAAAAATCTAGGACATTACATCACTCGTATGAGTAGCTAGGACGTGATAAAAACTGAAAGTCATGTAACTAATTAATAACTTATATTTAATTTTTAATAATATTCTTTAAAATTGAAAAAATTGCTGACTGTTGAGTGATCTGTATTTGATGTTCATAGTCTTGATGAACTACATAAAGTACTTTAGGTACTCCTTTTATTAAGACTGTGTCCAAATGCTATCATGTCCGTTCCTCTATTTTTTTTCGTTTTAATCCTCAGTTCGTCGGCTGTCTGATCATCATCATTCTGCTGGAGCTGTCCGTTGGCATCGCTGCTGCTGCTTTACGCCCTCAAATTGAGAGCACTCTCAAATCCCAACTGCGAGCTTCCTTTATCAAGAACAAGTCTACCAAAGAAGAGGATTCTACCTACAGGGAATTCTGGGACCGTGTCCAGTCTAGCGTAAGCTTTTATTACTATTTTTCCTATTTGAGATCTCATTTTAACGTCACTTAGGTTTTAATTAACGGAGTGCCTCTTCTCCTACCAAGATAGTTTTAGAAATTGCTTAACGTCTACCGAAAGCTAAATTTAGATCAATGATGTATTAATCGTCCATCAATATTGTATCAGCTTATGTTTACTGCCCGATCCCAAAATATCTGGTGACAAACAGTCATAGCATAAAATCTGATGGTAAGCAACCGACAACAGGCACATCTTTGGTTACCAGTGCTTTAAGGCCATTGGATAGGCCTGGACCTCATTTGTAAAAACCAAGAATAGAAATATGTTTTTTCTTTTAATACTAATTGTCTCAAAATGACTCTGTGTTTTACAAGCTAGAGTAATTTTCAAGTCACATTTACTGAAACAGTAATTACTTCCTGGAATATTAGAACAACCTCTAATAATTGTCATTAGGAGTACCATTAGGTGTTGTTCTGTCAAATGTATGACACGCCCAGGTAAAGTTAATGAGTAGATATCGATTGTGGATTAGAATTTCGAAGGGTCATTACTAAAATTACCCAAAGTAAACAAATTAATTCAAGGAAAACTTTACAAGTATGACTAAAGTGACGAACTTAGAGTTCTTCACAATGTCTTTTAAATAAGAAAGTTTTTATGTAATATTAGATTAAGCTACATTCCTTTTAAAAGTGCAGAGAAAAGATACAGAAGATGTTTCTGTTCTATAAATGACACCAAATTTTAGCAAGACTGAATTAATCTACTAATAGAAGTTGCTCCTAATCAAATGAATCACAAAGTTTTCTTCCCCTTCTAGCTGGAATGCTGTGGCATCACCGGTCCTGATAACTATGGAGCCTCGGAACCTCGCATCAATCCGTCCTTCAGCTGCTGCCCCAACGATGGAACCGACCACTCCGCTGAGATCAAACGCTCCAACTGCCTCTCGGATGGGAAGTACTACAAGGAAGGGTGTGAAGATAAAGTTCTTGGAACGATCCATAGCGCCGGCATGACTGTCATCGTTTGTGGAATTCTCTTCTGCTTTTTGGAGGTAAATTATTTGATTTTTTAAGTAAGACTGGGTTAGGTTCTGTTCTGGTTTACGAAGTGACGTAGGTCTTAATACCCTTGATTCATTTGTTTTAAAATATTTCTCAAAGAACCGATTAGAGTGAGACAGACTAGGAACTAGAAAGGAATAGAAACGATGACCACACAACAGCTATAAAATTTCAAACTTACTTTGTTAAAAGAGGCATTACATAAGTGTTGAAACTTAACATTCTATTTATACCAAACTACATATATATAACTAAAGCCAGTTTACGTGCTAACGAATCAAGTATTGATCGAAAAGTTCCGAGAAATAGCTCCCATAAAACCATATACGTACTAACGTACCATATAAGTACTAACATCAGTAAAGTTCTTTAAATTATTATTACAACACTAGCTAATCTAACTAATTATCAAAATGACACGCCTAGAATGTAGGTACAATATAAATATAATTACCTAGGTTTCGCGACAGAAATTTACGCGTGAAACGACACGAAATATAACATACGGGTGTTTTAACAAAACTCGGAATAGAGTTGCTACGTTCGCGTGGCAAGGATTTATATTAGAGGCGCAACTAATGTAACTCACTAGGTTATCACGAGTTCCTTTCGCTATCATGATTACATTTCCATGATAATAGTTTTAATTCGGTTTTAGGTTAAGTACAAATACAACTAATGTAACTCACTAGGTTATCACGAGTTCCTTTCGCTATCATGATTACATTTCCATGATAATAGTTTTAATTCGGTTTTAGGTTAAGTACAAATACAACTAATGTAACTCACTAGGTTATCACGAGTTCCTTTCGCTATCATGATTACATTTCCATGATAATAGTTTTAATTCGGTTTTAGGTTAAGTACAAATACAACTAATGTAACTCACTAGGTTATCACGAGTTCCTTTCGCTATCATGATTACATTTCCATGATAATAGTTTTAATTCGGTTTTAGGTTAAGTACAAATACAACTAATGTAACTCACTAGGTTATCACGAGTTCCTTTCGCTATCATGATTACATTTCCATGATAATAGTTTTAATTCGGTTTTAGGTTAAGTACAAATACAACTAATGTAACTCACTAGGTTATCACGAGTTCCTTTCGCTATCATGATTACATTTCCATGATAATAGTTTTAATTCGGTTTTAGGTTAAGTACAAATACATATAGGTAAACTAATGGAAACCATAAAGAATGAAAATAACATCAGCCTAATATACCTTCACGATAAAAACCAAACCCGATTCCCCTGAGTTTGCGAGTCCAGCCGGGATTGCGGGATAATCAAACCACTTAAGGTCCTTAGCAATCATAATTACTCCACTCAGAGAAATATAAGATAATATACTAGCAATATAAAAGCAAGATAAAATACTACCTATCAGAAAATAACATACTAGCTACTCTCACGCGGTTCCACCCTCTGCTCGATGTTGTATAGATTTGATTGCCTATATAGACTTCCTCAATAAATAAACTAACAAACATAAAAATAATGGTTCAATTCGAACCAACAGTTCTGGAGATTAGCGCGTTTAAACAAAGAAACTCTTCAGCTTTATAATATTACTATATAATACTTATAATATTATAAAGCACACTATACAATATGAATACGATTACAAAATAATGGTATAGAATAGGTAAATTACGGTACGCCTCCTAGGCGCCATTGTGTTAATATAAGCACATTAACATTATTAACACTTTTCTATAATATGAAAATTTTGGACGAATCGTGCCTAGCAACACATATACAGGCAAATATGAGAAAATTCCTTTGGCAATTCATCAAATAGCTTGTCGAATTAAAACCTTTTTCCTCGCCTTCTTTGTTTAACGTTGCAATTTTAGTTAGGGATATCGAATATTATATCAAATCCAAAAATATATACATAATCTGCACAAGAAGATTCATTAAAAATTACAATATACTTGAAGGATCTTTTGCCGCACCTTTCGTTGAAGTATTATTGAAAAAAGTTTTTTAATAAAGTCTGCGTATTTTTTTGGTATAGGTACCTACAGTTAAGAAAGATAAGATATAAGAAAATAAATATTGAATCGCTACGGAAACAGTCTGCAGATGGATTAAAAACTATAAGTATAAATTTTTAATGCATAATACACCTATTTTGTAACTATTGTTTGTACGTATATTGTTTCAATAGCTGTCTCTGATTTACTTTATGTAAATTGCTGCATACCAAATATCGCGGACTAAATTTCAGTGATAATTTCTAGGCCGAATAATTCCATTAACACGAAAATAGAAATGGTTTTAAGATGGAAATGAGTTCGTAACCCTTAGTAGGGCCTTTCTGACGTCACGTGGGTCACGCAATTGGAAAATTTAATGTTCCACAATCTCACATCTCTGACCTAGGCCGAAGGCTTTAACTACTGCTTTATTGAGCGTTCAGCTAATCTAGATGACCTCCTTACATGCCTAGGTATCGTAAAAAAATCTAAATAAAGGGTCTTAAGATCTAGTTTGCCGATATACCTCTTTAAGTGGCTCGGCTTTTTTTATTTTTTGGCTTGATTTTGTGCTATTCAGGTCGTCAGGCTGTTCAGGTTCCTAAATGTTATTTTATTAGTGGTAAAGAAAATAATGCTTATAATGCATATAATAAGCGTTTGAGAACATGCTTGTTTTCTTATTGCAGCATTAGTCTATACCAATATAATAAAGAGGTAAAATTTTGTAAGTTTGTATGTAGGGGGTAATCTTTGGAACCGCTGGTCGGATTGCCAAATTCTTTCACTGATAGATAGCTACAATGTTCCTGAGTGCTATAGGGTAAAACATCACGCTACGATTAAATGATAAATAAAAGTAAAATTTATTAAAATCATAGATCACATGAAAAAGTAATTAAAATGGCTCACATGCTGAGGTAAAAAAAGTCTTAATAATAATAATCGCAAAAGCTAAATTAAGCTAGGCAGGCAGCAATGAAATCATAACTGTTCTATTTTTAAATATAGGAACCACCCGTATAATATTAACAGGATATAAGCAGAATTTGATATTTTAAGTAAATAAGGCGATACCAACAACCGGGATACAAGACTCTAAGAACCTATTCAGAGTCGCTAATATTAATTCAATCGACCCTTATATTGTTTTGATTGACATAATTAGAACAAGAATAGAATAAAAATTATTATTTTCCATATTACACACACTAAAATCAATATAAGTATACAAACAAATTACTACAATATACAGTGGAAATAAAATAAAGCCGCTTGACTCTTAACAACAAAATGAAGAAGACAGAAAATGGACCGAAACAAAAAAATAAAGAAGACTTAAAATCTTTAGGACTTGTAACATTCAGATACTTAAACTTTAATGAGTAAAAATAAATGACTTAAACTTGAATGTCACATTTTTTTATATAAGGATTTCCATGTAAAAGAAAGCAAAGAATCCATGTAAATTATTGAGCAAAGAAATGAAAATTTTAATTGATAATTGAAAAATACTTATATTACTGTGTAATCCAGTAACTGAATCCAAACACCACGTTCAAGTGCTAGTCTGTAGGTCAGTCAGTATAGTGAGTCGATTCGTTCGTTCTAAAGTGTCTATAATATTCCTATGGAGACGAACGAGTAAGAAACTCCGTAATTGCTCTTTTTCAATCAGTTTCCTAATCTTATATTTGGTTGAGAACAATTTTATAATTCTGCTTTACGTGTGTATGTCATTAAACTCCTCCTAAACGGCTAGACCGATTTAAATGTTTTTTTAACCGACTTCCAAAAAGGAGGATGGTTCTCAATTCGACCGTATATATGCTTTTTTTTCTGTATGCGTTTGAGTGGCGCCCAAAGTGGTTTAGATTCACAATTCAATCCGGCAGATGGCGCTGATTTTATCTACATGTTTCATTATCATGTATATACATGTTTTAACTAATTATTTGTATATTTCAGGTTGCAGGCATCGTACTAGCCCTTTGGTTAGCGCACTCCATAAAAACGCAGGGGAAGAGCCGGGAGACCGCTTAATTCAACACCTTAGCTACATAGCCACAGAGTATAATTTCTCATGCAATGCACTATACGTAAGCTAAATTAAGTTACCTTATTTATTTAAGTGTAGAATTTATAAAAGCTAACGTCAAACGTCAACGTCTCACGGGTTGACGTCGGAAATCTGACGTTAAAACAATTTTTACCTTAATGGCGGGAAGGTAAGAGTGATAATTAAAATCATTAATTGTATTTTGATAGTCTTGTTGAATAGCTCGAAAAATAATGATTGTAATAATTGTTACATTTATAAAAGCATTTAAATATTTCCATAGTACCTCTAAGGATTCAAATTTAACTTTCGAATACGTATCATTCCGCCATTTTAAATGTGTACCTTAATGTGTTATTATTTTTTTATTGAAACCAAAGCTAAAATAATAATATAATATCTAAATAATAATATTTTAAAAATTAACAAAGAAATAAATAAAACTAAAAAAACAACAATAAAATTATATGTGTAACGATTATAAAACGTTTTGAAAATTAATACGAGAATATAAGAAAGAATCTTGAAATAAAAAAGAACCAATTAATCTTATTATGAAATTTCAGAGATGTCCTAGACAACCTGTATCTTTAAATGGACTTTCGTTTGTATTAAGTACATAATATTGAAATATAATTTAAATTTCATACAAATAATGAATACCTAAGCCAGATTATTACCATCCAGATCCATAATAATGAATTATAGATATTATATTTCAATTTCTCCATCCAGATCATCAAAGAAAACCAGCGTGAAACAACCATAGCGTTGTTTCGCCAATTCCCTCCTTTACTATACCCAATCGTCGATCCCCGAAAAGGCAAGTACCTTGTCGATGTTGGGGGTAGGTACATATATAAAAAAATATATAAAAAACGATTAAATGTTTCTGTCAGTCTCTATTTCATTAACCAGAGCTAATCGGTACAAAAACTCATTAGAATATACATATTGTTTGCAAGATAATTGTTTTAGTATTAATTTTGTTATATTGTAATTAGATACAATTTAATTAATAAGCTTAAACGTAAATTTTTAAGTATTGAATGCTTTACTAGTCATTAATTTATTAACAGTATACTTGTGCAAGTGCCTGTTTCACCTTTTTAATATACAGTCCCAAAAAACTTATAAACCATATTATGATCGTCATAATCAGCCTATTCTCACACGGAGAAGGTTTAATCACCACGCTTGCTCAATGCAGATTGGTAATTTCAAACTTGTAATTAGAAATTAGAAGTCCAGGTGTCCTCACGATGTTTTCCTTCACCGTTTGACAGTGGTGTCTAAATAATCATAGAAAGTACATGCCTATAACTCGGCAAAGTCAAATTGGTACTTGCCAGGTTTCGAGGCCGCACCCTCATGCATGGGAAGCGGGACCTCTGGGCCATTGTAAACAAAATAAGTACGTTCTGTATTCAAATTAATCTGGTACATAGTAGAACATTGTGAAACAGGCCCTTAACCTCGTAAACTAAATACATAATAGTATTACATAAGCTCTAAATTATTATAGAGAGATTGCCGGCAACTGGGACTGCAGCGAACTGGGACGGCAAAGAACTGGGACCGCGGTCCAAATTGCCGGTACCAATTAATTTTAATATCCCACCACATTTTAATCATGACAAAATAAATTCATTCCTTTTATAGAGAAAATTTTAGGTATTAAGGTTTTTTTTGTATTCAAATCGTCTTTGACTTACTACTGAACTTGTTACCTACTGAAATTGGTCTTCATATCATAAAATGTAACCAGAATGTTTATGATTACATCTCAAAAAAAAAATTGATGGGAAATAGGATGTCTAAAAATAATTATACCTACTCCCGTTGATTTATTTTATTTGAAACTTTTAATATTATGAGGCTAATTTAGGTAAAACCAGTATATACCTACAATTGACGTTCAATATTATGACCTCCCAATTTAGTAAAGTTACCCAAATAGAAACCCAAGTATCTTCGTTGACATAACAAATATTGTTTTTTATTGTTAATTAGTAAAAGTTTATTAAAATATAAGTAATTCTATCAATCAACATCAATCAACTTTGTCCCAATTTTTTTTTTGTTTTCTTCTTTTTTTTTAAAGAAACGTTGTATTAGGATTTTCTCCTGTGTCGTGGGTGCGTTTACACACACCCAGACCCGGAACAACAATTTGTGGATCACACAAAGAGTTGTTCCGTGCGGGAATCGAACCCGCGACACGTTGTACTTATAAAAATATTTTAAAATATTTCTTTAAATTATGGGGAAGTAGTCGATTGATGTTGATTGATAGAATTACTTACTTATTCTGATTTTAAACCTTTTTTTAGATTAAAATCAAAGTTCGCACAAACAGATGTTTGGTCATAGATTCAAAAGTTCAGTAGGATTGTAATAAAAACAAAAAACGGCAATACTTATTATTAATTATTATAAAAAGTCTATTAGTGTTAAATAAATGTTGAAATAGATTTTCTTAAAATAAAATATCTGTGTTCCATAATTTTTGTTGTTTTTTTTTCTATATTTTTGTCCAAGGAGATCCTATATTGTATTCTTTCTAGAATGAAGCACGGAAACTGAAACATTTTTTTCATATCTTTGTAATGAAAGGTGAGTACAATGAACAAGCTTTTGCAAAGTCAAATTTAGTCTTATGGAGACCTTATTAAAGACTGTAGGGAATTTATGTCGAGAATCAGCTTCAGACAGCGGCTTTGCCGGCGGTTTCTGATAACGTAACCTTTGTTTTTTACTCCAGACTACCTATACCTCTCTGTGGATGGGGCCCAACAGGGCCGATGTTTAGGCAGGGTTGCGGGTCAAACGCAATTAGGTCCCATGGCCTCGGCATAGAGCAGAAGAAAGAATGGGGAGGAAGGAGGTCAGCCAGTAAGAGTCTGGCACTCCCTCTCGCCATACCCTGGACGAGAGAAGTAATATGATGATTATTTCTCCTCAAACAAAAAGAAGCTCAACATTCAAATTACTGACTGTACGTTTGGTGCTGTGGCTAGGCAACAGGCTGTCGTACAATGTGTCGCTGGTTCGATTCCCGCACGGAACAACTCTTTGTGTGGTCCACAAATTGTTGTAACCGCACCCATAACACAGGAGAAATCGAAGTGAAGGGCAAAGTTCTCTAAAAAAATATTTACGTAAATGAAGGAGTTATCACAGTTATACAACAATCCATACCTAAAAACTTTCGCTTTTATTATCATCATCATCATCACCAGCCTATAAGTGCCCACTGCTGAGCAAAGGCCTCTTCTGACACGGAGAAGGTTTGAGCATTAATCACCACGCTTGCTCAATGCGGGTTGGCGATTTCAAACTTATAATTAGAAATTATAAGTCCAGGTTTCCTCACGATGTTTACCTTCACCGCATGTCAGTGGTGTGTAAATAATCATAGAAAGTAAGTACATATAACTTGGAAAAAGTCACATTGGTACTTACCAGGTTTCGAGATGAGATGCGGGCTCCTTAACCTCCGGGCCACCACGACTCCTTTTATTATATTAGTGCCTATTTTGTTCCCTTAATAAAACAGCTTAGCAGTGAAAAATATTTTATTAAACATAACAACACATTTCACAAACATAGAACATCAGTTTACAAATTCGAAAATAGAATGTGTATAAATTTTCCACAAACATCGAATGCAAGAAGTTTTCAAATATAACGATCACATACGGTGTATTAACCTAATAGTACTCTTATTTAATTTTTTTACTTAGTTAAATTGGTAATCTAATGCTAAATGAATAAAGTCTAAAATACTGTGAAGTAATCCATTCATGCAAGATTGATTTTTAATTCTACATTAAGGTATTTTTGTGTCTTTTTAATAGAAATGTCTCTTTAACCTATTATATGTTTTACATAAAATGTGATTTGAATTTTATGAAAAATGTTCTCGAACGTAAGTTATTTTTTTTTACATTTTCGAAAACTTTGTTTTTGTGTTTTTAGTCATTTTCAAATTGTTAAAACAATTTGTGACCAATAACGTTACTCTCTTCGATCGGCTTGATCTTAAGAAGTATTTTTAATTTTCTTGCAAAATTAAGAGGAAATTTTTGAAATTAATGAATTCAATTAATGTAATTATCCTTATTATTAGACACTTTAATGGATTTATTTATTTAAAAAACTTGATTTTCGACTGAATCATCATCCTTATTCTAATCCTATTTTATTTACCTAGAATATGGAAACTGCGTGCTAGAAACCTATTTAGTGCTCAACATTAGTTATTTTGACTTATTTAGGTACCTACCCCAATTAATCATTCATATGAGTACATACATATTATTGTAAATAATAATAATTGCTAAAATACTTAGGTCCCTATAGTGCGCAAATTATTAATTGCTTAGGTCTTCATTAGACCTTTTTACAATCAAAAACTACGTCTTAAATCTAGTATCTATCTTATAACTACCACGCCCTTGCCCTCCGAGGGCAATGTTACCGTAAATGCTAAATAAAAGGCATAAAATATTATAAAAATGCAAAATATTAAAAAGTGAGCTGTTTATTTATAATATTTTAAGTGAGCTATTTATTTTTAATGTTAATAAATGAGTTACTTATTTAATTTTCAAATTATTTGTTATTATTTTATAGACATATTTTGTTATTAAAATAATTACTGAAACTTGACTTGTTAACTACAAAATCCCTCATATGGGTCGTCTTCTTATATCTAATTAATTATTTAATGTGTCTACTATTTTCCCGTAATTTCCATTTTACTAAAAGGTATGGCAGAAATGCAGCTTTTCCTTAAATTTCTATAAAAATTATATTAACTACTTATCAGTAATTAAAATCTAGTTTAAAATTAGTAGGAAAATTCATAACAATATAAAAACCGCGTTAAAATTGAATAAAAACTTATTTGGAAATACACCGCAAAGTTAATAGTAGGACTAAGACTATCTTTTAAATTTTGACAAATAAATATAGAACTATTTTGAATTCAAATTACGAATACAAAAAAAAATGTTACCTATAAATAAATGTATAAATATTAACTAAAATAAAATAAAATAAATTTATATTTTTTGTAATTGTTTAAGCATAATTTTTTAATTGCTATAAACTAGTGATTGCCTGCGATCCCACCAGATGATAAGCAGTGACGCAAGCGTTGATGGTAAGGCGCACTAGTTTATTAAGAGCCTATTCACTCTAGCCTTGAAGACACCTAAAAACCTACTCTCTCACGTGAGTAAGTAGTTATTTTTTATTCAATAAATTTAGTATGTCTCACGATAGAAGTATCTATTCAGAAATGTATTAAGTAGGTACAATTGATAGCCCTGTTTAAAAATAAACAAAAAAATACATTTAACGTAACACATATCTCTAAGAGACTATACTTTCGTTATTCAGGAGAACTATCGATTTTAAAACACGAACATATAATTCCTACTTTAGTATAAAATTTACACTACATTCATTATTTATATTATTAATTTATTTTTAGTTAGTAAAGCAATATAAACGATAAGAGGCGTGTAAACACGCAAAGCAGCTACAGTGTAATTGACACAAAGGTTATTTTTCCCATAATTTAAACAGGGAAAAATCTATCTTATTCCTAAGTAGTTTAGGATCAATTCTACGTTAAATTCTACTCGAGTTATAAACTCTTTTACATTATTATTAAATTTTTCTATATAAAATATTTTTATTATAACTTTCGTGAGACATTCTAAATTATTTATTATGTTTTCGGCTTACTCACGTAATAATTTGACGAGATACTCGACTAGTTTCAAGCCATGCTAGAGGCCCATATTCATGAGCAGCATTCCGCGACACGCGACTCGGCGACCGTCGCGCTGCTAGCATGGGCCTCTAGCATGGCTTGAAACTAGTCGAGTATCTCGTCAACTTATTACGTGAGTAAGCCGAAAACATAATAAATAATATAAAATATTCTTTATATTTTATCCTATTATATGTTCAAAGCTGTAATACTGCAAAAAATAATTATTATTATAGCAAATAATGATATTAAGAATTAAAAAAAAAACATGTTTTACTTATAGGCACAGGCAATTACTTATTACATACTTTTCTTTTATTATATTTTAGTTTTGAGGTCAGGAAAAAAAGGTTTTCGCATATTTCACAAAATTTTGTATGGATTTAGATTTTTTTTACGAAATTTTTATCTTTTTAATTTTAGAATTACATCGATTAAATTTATGCTTTTTTGTTTCTTAAAAGTGATCCAATAATACTTGACAAACATATAAATTCAAAACGTAGCTACCTAGGTAATTGTGACAAACAGAATCATTTTATTAGGTATCTACTCGTCAAATTTGTTAGAAAAAGTACGAATAACTATTAATTCTTTTTTTATGTAATGTTACTTATAGCATTAATCGGTATAACATATATTTTGTGTGTTTGTAAGTGTCTATTACCTTATTCATTTTGTCTTATTCGTAACTACAAATATCTACAAGCAAGCGATTAATAGGAAAAACATAAAATTTCTAGAATTTATGCTTCATTCTTTCTCTTTTTTGAGTAAGAAATCAAGCTGCTATACACTTTATTGTACCCTTACATCATTTGCTTTCAAATATAATATACAATTTTACGAAATTTATATATCCTTACTTAATTATCTGTAAGACATAACCTAAAAATTAGTTGAAAAGGGAAAATGTGAAAAAGAGCGGGCTTATACGATGTCCTTATGAAGAATTTCGAAATTTTATTGTGTTTAATCTTAATTTGTACTTTATTTTAAAGTAAAATAGAATCCATATTTGTATAACACCCATATGATACCTACTTAATTTTTTAATAAATAAACGTATTAAATGCGAATAATAATTATGATAATTGGCTAAGTAAACATAGAGACATCAAACAAACCCGCTATTATTAAACTAGATCAGTTTTAAAATTTTCACTAATTGTCTTAGGTTAACTTAGAGAAAAATTAACCCTATAACCAAATTGATTAAGACTATTTTACACTATTCTTGCATAAGTCGTTTAGGCTTTGTCAAGGTTTTAGAATATATCCGCTGTTTCTAATGAAATTTACATTCATTTAATAAAGACCTAGTTTTATGATTACCCAATGCTATTTAAAAAAAAAAACTAAATCAAAATTATTGATTAAGACCATTTTAGCTAGCTTAATAACAAATTAAAACAACAAAACAAGCTTAAAATACCCTTTTATCTAATGGTATTAAAATTTTAAGTAACGGTTTACCTAATAAGGAAAAATATTAATTAATAGGTTCAGGGTAAATTTTAGTAGATAGGTAAAATGTACCTTCATATTGTATGGTGTACTAAAACATAAGGCCTACTTCAGAACTACTAACTTAAATACTAAACTCCAACTAAGTATTACTAATTACTACTATTTAATATACTAATTAGACACAACAATAACTAACTATAAACTACAAGAAAACGATATACTTCTGTTATTTCGAATAGACTTAAGAATTCAAAATTTCTTAACAGTAAGTATTCCGTTTATATTTATACTATATCTTTATTTACTAATTAAGGCACTATTATTTACAATCTTACTTCTATAAGAACTGATTTTTCAATGGTTAGATAAAAGTTTTCTGCGGAATAATTATGATGCTGTCGCGTCAGAATGTTTGTATAAGACAGTGACAGCAATAATTTTATTCCTCAGACAACTGACTTTTGAAAAAAAAGCCCAGTGTTTATAAAAAAACGCGTGAATAAAGTTCAAAACTGAACAAATAATAAGGCATAAATAAAAATCTATTTATTTGGTATTTTTTTTTAATACCATTTATCTAATAAATATTGGTCCCTCTCCGGCTTATTGACAGCCACAGCTGATAAAAACTACTATTATTATCACAGATTATAGCTAAATTGACCAAAAAAAAAAATACTAATCGACTGCAAGACGCATGTAAAAAGGTGCAAGGAAAAATGGAAGAAAACTGTGCTCTGAAATTGAGAAGCATTTTTGTCATAAGCTATTTATCTAAATTAAATTTTGATATTAATTTAAACTAACCTACTTACTTACTTTTGTACCTCATTGTACCATAGATATGTATGGTTTTTGTGTTTTATAGGCTTGCAAGACAGTGTTAAAATTATTTTTAAGATTGCTAGCTTCTGCCAACGGCTTCGCCGACAATACCAGGATGAAAACTAGCTTATCTGTTATTTAAGACTATATATAATCTATCTCTACGTCAAATTTCATTCAGATCAGTTTAGTAGTTTTTAAGTGAAAGAATAACAAACATCCGTCCGTTCATGCTTACTTTCGCATTCATAATACCTATTAGTAGGATTTTAAACTACTACTTAAGATATATTGCTATTAAATTAATTTTTATAAGATACTGAATTTCATGCTCATTTAATTCATGGATTACGAACTAACATATTTTAAAAATAAAATTAATCTTCAATACTGGCTACTTAGCTTAAAATCAACGATAAATTTAATATTAACATTTCCTACCTAATTAAACAAAGCTGTCTTTAGCAAGGGGCTTGTTATATTTACACAAATTTAATTCATTTATGAAACTTATCACATAAAAATGGCGTTGGATATCCACAAAAAGAGAATGTAAGTCGGAAAGCTGAGAGGCCTTGCGAGATTTTTGATTATATGGCTATGACACAAATCAATATAATATACATCAATGAATTATATAGAATCGATATGAGGCTACCCTCATCACTTCTGTTTACTATATATTTCGTTATATACATTCATAGCATGCCGCTAGGCATCGAGTTCTATGTCCGCTGGCGGTGAAAAGGTTAATATTTCACATAATACTGTAATTAAAAATAATTAAACTCATTTTAATAGCATAGTACCTACTCTTATCCTATGACCTTCGAACGGCCAACGCTTCCAGCTGCAGGGTGCTACTACTTTCGTATTAAGATTCAAAATGGGCTTGTAAATTAGCCTGGAGCTTACGCCTTTCCGAACGTATCGTGCGAGCCATCCACAGAGCTAAAACGATGCACAAAATCTGAAAAGTAACACGTATTTATTATTTTGTTTAAACATTTTCGAAAAGCGATGAGAAACAGAATTTACCTCTACCAATGTGAATATAATGCCCGTTGAGATGAAGATATTTCCTTTAAAAGCTTTTTTCTGTCGTAACACTTCCTCGCAGCCGCGCATGTAATACGACCGGTCGCTGAGACAGCTCGCGTGCAAATGACGCCGGGCGCCGCCCTCGCGTAGGGGATGTGCGCGGGCGCAGCACGAGGCTGGAATATCACGATGGATGATGGCGTAGTCTTGTGGACCATCGACACCGCAGCACTGGTTCTATAAATTAAATTGGTTTAGCATGGTGGCTGTACTTAATTATTTATTTGGAAGTTTAGATTAAGATGAGATGCTCTTATTGCTATGGATAACAAATGCTGAATAAAGGATACATTAGGGCGCAAATTATTAGATGACTAGACATTTTTTTATTCATTAAAAATTTAAAAATAGGTTCCTATTCTATTTTTTTACCGAAGCTACAAATATATCTATATTTTATTATTTTCATTTATACATAAAGTTTTGGCAACTTACATCAGACTGCAGGTCATCCCAGAACGCGTGGTACTTCGCAGTCTCATCTTCGATGGTGGTGTTCCTGTAGAACTGCACCCGCAGCTCACTGCTGCCCCCCATCCAGGCACTGAGCACTGCCCCACCCACACCCACCACCAGCTCTACAGCCACTAGGAATATGAAGAAACCTGCATGCTGGAAATAAAGGGTATAATATATAGGTATACCATAGTCATAGAGCATATTATGATAAAATGCCTAGTGAAACGGTCGGCAACGCACTTTTTCTCTTTTGGTATCACGAGTGTCTATGGGCGGCGCTGATGGCTTACCACCAGGTAATCTGTCTGATCGTTTGCCTATTGGATGCAATTTTATAATTAATAGTAGGTTGGATATGTTTTGTTTATCTTTATCTTGTCCTTATTTTTCCCGCTGTAACGCTAGATGGCGGCACTGTATGTGCATTCTGAACATGGCGACTGTCATGGCTTTGTAAAATTTTCTTATAACTTTTATTAAATAAAACGTTTAAGTTGTGTAACAGAAATCTTATTTATTAACCTGATACAAACATTGGCGACCTATCACATAAAAAGGAATACACGGCCTCTGATTAAATCAGCGTGTAATGAACAAGAAAAACAACGTTGTGATACGCCTTGTGAATTGGTACCGAAGACCCAGTCTTTCTACCCCTCCCAAAATCCTTCGCCAATCCCTAATATCTGAAACCCTAATCACCGGCAGTGCACTCAGGCACTCGTAACTCCTATGGTGTTCATGGATTGCTTAACTTCACGTAATCGGTCAACTCATATGCCGTCGTATGGCAGAAAAAAAGTTGGTTAATATGACGTATATTAAAAAAAACATTAGGGTCAAAACTCACTGGACTATGTAAATAAACATTCACAATTATAACAGAAAAGGCACGCTATTATTTCTAATATTATAAATATGAACGAGTGTGTGTTTTTAAACGCTTTCTTTTACAGTTTAATGGTCAGTTTTAACGCTATGATTTTTTTTGATTGATGGTTTAATAGTTACGTTTAGTGTCGCCACTAAAACGTGAAAATAAAATTTAAAAACGGAATCTATTTTCTATTAGGTTTTATTATTTTGTACTAATCTCGTTCTTATTTTATCCTTATCTGTCTTTAAGAAATAACATTTGTACAGTCTGCACACCTTTTGTTATGATATTTATATATTAAGATGGATTACCTGGGAAAGACCTAGCTTCACTGACGAATAGACTCATAGACTACTATTCTATTTTGACCTTATTAATTATTTTGTTTTAGTTCAAAAATACCTGTTTATGGTTTAGTTGGAATAAATGATTTTGTCTTTGACTTTGAGATTCAATACAGAAACAGTATTCAATTATGTGATTTTTGTAAAATTGTCCTAATTGAAAAGCATATAATTAAGTGTAATGATAGCTCCTCATCATGATCATCTTCCTGCCCTTGTCCCGTTTTATTTGAGGTCGACGCAATATGTGTTTTAACCCCCGACGCAAAAAGAGTGGTGTTATAAGTTTGACGTGTCTGTCTCTCTGTCTGTGGCATCCTGGAGTCTGAACGAGTGAAGCGATTTCAATTTAGTTTTTTTTTGTATTAAAGGTGACTTACGTGCGAGTGTTCTTAGATATGTTTGAGGAAAATCGGATTAGCCGTTTAGAAGTTATGGGGGGTAAGTGAGGAAGAGTAACCGAAGGTCTGCAAATATACTCGAGGGAGGACTCAAATGAAAGCGCACTGAAAGGGAATGTTGATCGAGAGGAAATGATATAAAAAGTATAAAATAAAAAAATAAATTAGACCACTGACAAAATAGAAATATGTACTTAGTTGAAAATAAAATGTATGGATCGGTCCCCAACGCCACGTTGTCTTTTAATTATTACTTTTTAAAGAATATAAGATTTTTTGTCGGGGTTTTTCTAAATTTTAAATTTATTTATTCCATTCTGTCCTGTCACCCGTCACGCTACCACTAACTCCTCTGTCGAGTTCCCCAGTATAGTCTTTATTTTCTTATCTGATACTAAATTACTAGGCAGACTGTTAATGACATTTTTCTCTAAAAGTAATAAAGGGCTAGAGAAACTCCAACCAGTCCACAACCACAGAAGACATGGATACACCTAACACTAAAAAGCCGTCTTATAATAAGTTTTGGACTTTCATAAATATTAAAATTTTCTCGAGAAAAACGTTTGCTAGACATTGTACTGTGATCTCTTGTTCTTTTGTGGATCACGATCATTTTCAATTTCCATGTAAAAAGTGGTATGTTTTTTATGTGACAGATAGATCACCTGGCGGTAAGCAACCTGTGTACCACCACACCGCACCCCAGTGAAGTTGCAAGAGCATTATCGTCCTTTTGGAGGTTGTTAGAGATTTCAGGATTTGGAGATTGAGCACCCTCTCGGATTAGCCCGCCGGTACCGTTACTCACACGGCAAAAGCCACGACGAAGGCCTTGTTTTATGTTTGTTTTCTGTGAGGCTGTGGTATCCCTCCAGTGCGAAGCCAACGCATTCGCGTTAAAGCATGGCTCTGCTAAACTTAAAAGTGTTTTTTTTGTGAGGGGAAAATCATCATATGACTTCTCCCGCCCAGGACCGGGCGAGAGGGAGTGTCAGACTCTTACTGACTAAAAACCCCCCTGTTCCTTCTCCTGCTCTGGGCCGAGGTCGCGGTGCCTCATTGCGCTTACCCCGCAACCCCGGCTGAACATCAGCCCTATAGGGCCCCGTCTGTGGTGGTCTATTAGCTCTTTGAGGCGCACGGAACGCTACGCGCCGAAACTTAAAAGTGTGCGTATCGCCTTTTAAGTTAGCCATTAATTAGCTTTAAAAGCCCATAATTCTATTTAAAAATAAACGTCAACAGTCGGTTCATTACTTTTCTATCATGCGTCATTTACTATTCACCTATATTTGTTTATATCTATGTATATATCAACTAAGATATTGATTTCGGTGGACGACCAAGGTCACCATACGTTAAGTAAATATTCCATGTATCTAGTCTACAATTACATGATAAAGTAGTCTTAATAATGAAACACAAAATATGAAAACAATGAAACAATGAATTTATTTTTGCAAATAGGCCTTAAAACGGCACTTTTACACGTCAATTTATATGTGAAAAACTAGATGAAGCCGGCATTTCCTATCTGACCACTCTGAGAAGAAATGCCGAATCAAACTCAGAGGTCAGTCTCTTTTCAAGTCCAACATTTTTACGTACTGTTAACATTTTACGTTATTTTTCTAGAACACACGCAGTACCCCGTCGGGTACATTAAACATTTTTTCTTTAATAACGAAATAAGGGATATGTCATAATAGGCCAGTTCGGACGGAGTGATCTCACGGCCCCATAGAAAACTGGCGCGAAAAACGTGTACGTTTTATGTCGCCTTGTGAAGTGGATGCCCTCCCCCAAATCTGATTTCCCAAAATAAAATTATGTAGCTTTGGTTTTTATTACTTACTTTAGTAAATAATACTTCGTAATTTGTATACGAATTAAAATTGCAATTGAATACGTATAAGTATCTATAAGAAGTAGAAAGATAGAATTCGCATCATGTACAAAATTTTTGCTTAGGTAATTGATGTAGTAATGTCATCATTATTATCAATCATTTCTTCAACTTTCTGACTTCACCACCATTCGTGTCACACAGTAAACATTTTACAAATTCAGTTAATTATTGTCATTTAGTCAGTACCTAATGTTATTTTACTCGAACCCTTTTCATTTTATTTCGCACAACAATTAATAACATCCACTAAAGTTTTGCATTCGGTAGGTACACATATTAGAGTTATTAAAAATAAACCACATTAAAAACAAAATCGCAAGTGCACTTCAAATAAAAATGTTAAGTGTAAAAATATCAATTCTATTACAAATTACGTAACATTACACGATAAAGGTTGGTACCTCAGATACAACAAACATAAATACAACAAAGAACAAAAACAAATCTAAAAAGCCTTTCTATTAAAAAACCCATTTCATTCAATTTCTCATGAAACCCACTTATTTAATTCAGGAAGATAGAAAAATATGCTATATAATGGCACTTACCACATAAAGGATCCGTACATGTTCCCTCAAGGCACCCACACAGCCCAGAATCGCAGTCACCACCAGCGCTATTCCAAGAGTCAGGAGGAAAGACAGCACTCCTCGAGACAGAGCTGACTGCTGCTCTGGCTGTGACTTCTTATCCCTCATGTTTATCACACATATTGCCATCAGAATCAAACCGAACAGCTGACAAAAGAAAAAAGGAGGTTAGTAATGATATTTAAATTAAAAAAGTTACAATAATAAAAGAAAAAACAGGGTTATAAGAAAAATAATTTTATCTGTTACGTATGTAGGTAAAAGATATTAAAAAGTAAGAAATTAACTATCATTTAAAATTATCACTTCGAATTCCGAATTTAAAAATGTACGGCAACTAATTCAAAGACAATTAAAGTTTAGTGTCAAAACGGGCATAAAATAAAATAATTAAACGAATTTTGAAAATAACAATAAAACCCGCAATTGTCAAAAAAGAAATACAAAACAAATTTAATAAGAAAAACGAGGGAACAGATGGAAGAATAAATTCAGACACGACTTACAATGCAAATGATATTGAACAAAGTAATAAAGAACTTCATGCAACGAACGCGTCTTGACTTCATTTTGTTAAAGCCGATTTCAGTCTGTATGTCCTGTAGCGTCGGGGTGGACATCGGAAATGAAGGCTTTAGGGCTATAACATCGATCAATGCATTTGTCGACCTATGTTGGTGATTACTAGGGGCTTAGTGACGAGCGGAGCGGGCTTTACTCTCATTAAACATTCATACACAACGCTGTTTCTACTACATCTACTTTTGCTTGACTAAGGAATACTTTTACTGCACATATATTCATAAACTGACTCCTATATGCTTAAAGGATTGACAGAAATTTTAAAGCATCACCATCTATTATGCAAACTTCTTTAGCTTCTATCACATAAACAATCGTTGTAATGTCGTCATCGATTTTGTTTAATATAATTCTTTAAATGGCAGCCAATCTACTTTGTTGTCGTAAGTTTGATAGGGCTTACTATAAATTATTTATTTTAAAATTCGAGAAAGATCGAAGAAAGAAGGAAACGACTGGTGTCCGTTTTGCTTGCTCACAAAAATACAATGGCATTAGAACTTTATTTGAAGATATAGTCCCAAATATAAATCCAAAAGTAGTGTTTTTTTATTACTTTATATGTCGTCTTTATATCGCTTCAATGACCGCTCCGCCATCCTCTCCGCTGATACCAATGACGCAATATTTAGAATGTGGGAACCCATGTGTCCACGTACCCACACTTCAGGGTCCATCTTCACCACCAGCCTTTGTTTCTTTACCAACTTATCTAAACATCCAATATGACTCTTGACTCATCGCTACAATAACCATATTTCTTTACACCACCTCCTGCTCTACATTTGTTGAATGATTCTTTGTTATGATACGCGATATTGCTTTGAGCTTTTTGCTTTTTAGTTATAAGGCTCATTTTGCTTTGTGATGCGTGTTTTATTTTTAGTTTTGCGATGTATTCCTCTGTAGTTATTAATTGACATGACATATCGACCGGCCTCAGTGAATATACTTTAATGCACTTTTTCAAATAGGTCACTTTATTACTTGGTGTAGTTGTACGTGGTGCGTGATTGGCTGGTCTATTTCCTACTCGATCAATAAATATAAAATCACAAGATGGCTGTCGGTGTGGCTGTCTTCGACTAATTACAGACGGTTCGTCCACTTACGAACCGCTTTGCATATTTAAAAAGGTTGAATGCAGGTTTCTTTGTGTCCTCCTATAGATGGACTTTCAGTGAAATGTGAAATTAATTGAATATCGATGTTCTATGTTTTTGTTTGATAAACTTTTTTGTACCATGTAAAATAATTTTGCAATTGAATTTTCATATTTTTAGATAAACTTCAAAAATGAAACCCATTAAAACGATAGCTTTTAAAATCATAGATTCTGTCAAACACGGTGTCCTCCACGACGTGATGATACCACATTTTGGATAGACACTTTTGTCTGACAACCAAAACCGATTGCGTTAAACACGACCAAATCACCAAAACTCCGGTCTATTAGTGTCAATTTTATCTAAACCCTCATCATAATCTATGATGAGTTTCTTTGTTTGAACGTGCTAGACTTAGGATCAGCGTAGTTGAAATTGTATAATTATTTTTGCTTTCAATAGTCCTTTGTTCAAAGAACTTGAACAAAATGTTCTTCTGGCGTGATGATATATGCGCCATGCATGGCTAAGCACTAGCTGCTTGGAACAAAGAAGTATCAAACTTGAAACATAAAATTAGTATCTAAGTAAATTTCATATCCAGGGTTACGGATCAAGTGCAATCTTGTAAGTACCACGGCCCCTCCCTAGAGCAACAGGAGAGAAGATTAGTCAGTAAGAATCTGATACTCCCTCTTGCCATACCCTAGATTACAGCAGTCATTTTGATGATTTTTCCTCCTAAAAAAGAAAAAAGTCAATCTCATATCAGTCATTCTTATTTGCTGACGCAATAATAGACTGGAGTCCTGGCCTGAAGTAGGAGAACATATGGGGTGGTTTTTATTCAGAAAGAATTCGACTCATTTTGACGATTGTCACAGGGCGGGAGAGGTGAAATGATGTAACAAAGAAATGAATTGTGATATTGATTGAAAAAGAGTAACCATGAAGTTTCTTGCTTGTTCTTCTCCATAGGAATCTACACTTTGGAACGAGCAAATAGCTTCACTAGAGGACTGACGAACAGACTGACACGCATATAGGTAGTTGTACCATGTTTGTTTGACGCTCAAAAGGGGCTGTTGTGGTCTACTTGAAATAAATGATTTTACTTCTTCACTTTTGAGGCCATTTGACGAATTTTCCCACTCTAAAACGTTGCTCTTACTGTTATAATATTGGACAAATGAAAAATAAATAAAACAGAACTGTCTGCAAGACATTATACTTGCATATTTAATCAAGTAATTGCATACAATTACCGTACGGTCGGGTACCTGTGCACCTGTACAACGTTCAGGTGGCATCGTACCCACACCACTTCGATGCCCGGCCCGAGTAATAATCAATAAGACTGTTAATAATTAATAACTTCCACCCTTACCTCATACCCTCGAAGATGTCGATTAAGTTTAATCGAAGTCAGGAACTACTTTCGACATTATTTTAAGCTGTTTTTAATTCTCTATAAGTGAACTAATTTGGGTAGATGGTAATTTTTTATAAGCTTTTGCGTTTTATTAAGGACCCACTTCTCATTCATAAGCGCGTTGAAACCTGGTTGATACGGTACTTCCTTTGTTATTATGTATTTTTTACCCGATTACGGCAAAGCAAAAGGAGGGCTTTTTTTTGTGAGGGGAAAATCATCAAATGTCTTCTCGGATCTCTGGAATGACTCTCTGGATCCGAAACAGAAAGGGGGGCTACATTTACTTACCATACCTGCACTTTCGCTCTGTCATCGCGCGTTGTTGACTGGCGCGTCATGGAGGAGGTGGAGACGTTTTCGGACCACCGGTATATACGGTTCGACGTCTCCGCCGAGTCCGCAGACCCGCCAGTCAGACAGGCCCCGTGTGGCCCGCGTTGGGCGCTTAGGCAACTGGACCGGGAGCTTTTCCTGGAAGCCGCAGTCGTGCAGGCCTGGGTGATACCACCGGTCAGGCCAGCCGACATTAACGAGGAGGCGAGATGGCTCCAGGACGCCATGTCAAGGATGTGCGACGTGGCGATGCCCCGGATCCGACCGTGCCAACGCAAGCGCCAGGTGTATTGGTGGTCGCAGGAATTGGCAGACCTGCGCGGTGAGTGCACCGCAGCGCGACGCCGATACACCAGGCACCGCAGGCTCCGTCTCCGCCCTCTGGACGCCGAAACCAGAGAGGCGGAGCTATACGAGGAGTACAGGGCGGCGAAGGCCACCCTCAGGGTGGAGATCCGGCGGGCCAAAGATCGGGCCCGCGAGGAGATGTTGGAGACTCTGAACAGAGACCCGTGGGGACGCCCCTACCGGATGGTGCGTGATAAGCTCCGCACCTGGGCGCCCCCACTGACTCAGAGTCTCCGGCCGGAGGTCGTGGACGAAGTGGTTGGGGCGCTATTCCCCCGACCACAGATGGGTTACACGCCTCCGGCTATGCCCCCGCCCCCTGCGGTGCCCAATGCGGGCTACATCGACGACGACGACGAATCCGCTCCGGAAGTGACCGAGGTAGATTTGAGAGTGGCGGTGCGCCGGCTGAGCGGCAAGAATACCGCCCCAGGACCTGACGGGCTGCATGCCAAGGTCTGGGTCCTGGCCTCGGAGGCTCTCAGGCCTCGACTACTTGGTCTGTTCAGCGCATGTTTGGAGAGAGGCCAGTTTCCGCTGTCGTGGAAGACGGGTAAACTGGTCCTCGTGAAGAAGCCGGGGCGTCCTGCGGACTCTCCGTCCGCGTACCGGCCCATTGTGCTGCTCGACGAGGTGGGAAAGCTGTTCGAGAGGATAATCTCAGACCGCCTCGTCGGGCACCTGTCTGGAAGGGGGCCGGATTTAGCGGACGGCCAGTTCGGCTTCCGCAGAGGGCGCTCCACGGTGGACGCCATCATGCGCGTGAGGGACCTCACGACGGGGACAGCGTTGGCCGGGAGGCGAGTCGTCGTGGCGGTGTCTCTGGACATCGCCAACGCCTTTAACTCGCTGCCCTGGAGCTGCATTTTGGAGGCACTCCGGTATCACCGGGTGCCTGCCTATCTCCGTCGTGTAGTCGAGGCTTACTTGACGGACAGATGCGTCATCTACCCCGGTCACCGGGGCGTGTGGAATCGGCGAGAGGTGTCGCGCGGTGTCCCACAGGGATCGGTCCTGGGACCTCTCCTGCGGAACATCGGGTACGATTGGGTGCTACGCACCGACCTCCCGAGCGGCGTCAGCATTGTCTGCTATGCTGACGACACGCTGGTGCTGGCGAACGGGAAGTCGCATCAGGCGGCGGCCGACCTGATGTCACAAGCGGTTGCGACAGTCGTTGCAAGGATCCGGCAGTTGGGACTCGAGGTGGCGCTCCACAAGTCCGAGGCCATGTGCTTCTATGGCCGTCGGAGCGCGCCACCTCCAGGTGGGTCCCAAGTAACGGCAGGAGGAGTTACCATCGGCGTCGAGTCGGCGATGAAGTACCTTGGTCTCGTCCTCGACAGCCGATGGAACTTCACGGAGCATTTTCGTCGTTTGGCCCCTAAGTAGGAACGGTCTGGGGCCGCGCTCAAGCGGCTCCTTCCCAACCTCGGGGGGCCAAACGCCTCCTGCCGGAGGTTGTATATGGGGATTGTGCGATCCATGGCCCTCTACGGTGCCCCTGTGTGGGCGCCGGACTTGAAGCGGCGGCCGGCTCGTACGCTGGTCGCGTCCCAGAGGGTCATGGCTATACGAGTAATCCGCGGGTATCGCACGATCTCCGGGGAGGCGGCGAACCTCCTTGCCGGATCACCGCCGTGGGATCTAAAAGCGAAGGCGCTCGCGCGCGTCTACAGTTTGCGCGCAGACGCGCGTCGCCGGGGCGAAGATCCTCTGCCGCGCCAAATAAATGCGTGGCGGAATGAGCTCCGGCGAGATCTCA